ATAAGCGCAAATATTTGATCTTGTAGATCTCGATAAAAGAAACATATTTTCTCTTTATCGTTTTTCAAATAAGTCCAAAATAACCGACACACAGCCAAACTTATATGGAATCACTCTTTATTTCTGACTAAATTTCTTGCAAGGATAAAAATTGGTATACAACTTAAAGATAAGATTTTTTGTTGTAAATAAACATGATAGTAAAGAATAAACGACTGCTGCGATTTATTTTATTTTGAATTTTGTGTTCAGTGGTAAAATCACGATTGTCCGGTAATTTTCATTTAATCTAAAAAATAAAAAAATGCCTTATGTTGGATTAACAGATGTATACAGGGGAAGAATTATTGCTCTTATTCAAGAAAGAATATGTCCCAAAGAGACGTAGCAAAGCTAGTAAGGTACTTGTAATTAGGAACACACAAGAACAGGCCCAGACAAAGTCGTCAAAGAGTCACAACAGAACAACAAGACCGCTTTGTGTGTCAAATTTCTAGCAGAAATCCCAACGTTTCTCATCCAGAGCTACAAAGACAACTTCTGGCAGCTACAGGTGTGAACATTTCAGTTGAAACTATAAGAAAAAGGCTTCGTGTTCGAGGGTCTTATAGCAGGAGACAGTTACGGATCCCACGGTTATCTCGGCAAAATAAAATTGACCGGCTAAATTGATGCCTTCAACATCAAAACTGGACAACTGAGAACTGGCGAAATGTTATTTTTTTGAATGAGGCTAGAACTGGCCTAAAATCAGATGACCATCGAATTCGGGTTCTCAAAGCTTCAGGAACACGAGCGAGACTCCAGGCTGCCAAATCTGTACCAATATATAAAGGAGGAAATGTAATGTTCTGGGGAGAAATGATGAAATTATGCTGAGAGCAAAAACTCCATTGTTACCACTTCAACAAACTTTAACGGGTCGGAGGTATGTTGATTTAGTGCTAGACCAATCGTTAGGCTTTGGAGAGCTACAATTGGGGACAACCTTACCTTCATGCACGATGGTACACCTCCCCATATCAGCAGAGTGTCTAGAGAATGTCTTGAAACGGAAGGTGGCATAATTTTGGATTGGTCTGCATGTTCACCAGATCTAAACCCTAGCGAAAACTTGTGGGACCAGCTCAAAAGAAGGGTTAGAGTACGTCGAAAAAATCCAGGAAATCTCGCACAACTTATAGATGCAGCATTAGCAGAATGGGACATACTGCAAGACAACGTTGATAATTTAATAAGAAGCATGTCATCGAGGATAGAAGCTTGTATAAGGGCTAGAGATGGCAACAAGGATTATTAAAATTATCAATTTTCTTTTGGTTTTTGCTTAAATCTTAATTTCGTTTCAAAAACCAAAAAAAAACATGTGTTTATTTTGGGATCTGATGATTTTTTATAGCTAGGATTATTTTTCATTAAAAGTCATTGGTAAGGACTGTGTTTTATTTATAAACACAAAATTTTCATACGTCTCAAAAATTATGAAAAATTATTGATGATTCCGTATAAGTTCGGTTGTGTGTATTTTACTAAATAAAAAAAATGATTTTCCGCTTATATTTTGAGACCCATTGGATCTTTTATGAGTTTTCTTTCTTGTAAATTTAATCTACTATCTATGTTTTACCATATTATGAAGATATTCTGCTTTTTAAATAAAAATTCAAAAAAATTTCAAATTTTTCAAAAATTTTTTTCGCAAAATAAATCCTCATGGACGTGTTTCTGGGGTCGAAATATACAACCCCTAAAAAAATTTGCACTTATTGAAGACTCACTCTCTCGCTCACCCTATATATGTTGATAGATATCATCACTATAGTATCCGATGATTAATATGTCTATTGTTCACTGATTCGTAGTTTAGATAAAAATTTCAGTGTTTTCCAGTGACTGATATAACAGCAAATTTAAGGTTAATTACAATAATTATATTATATCAAATTTCCTGTACGAAAATCGTATTAAATGGTATTTATTATCTGCCATTAACTTATTCTTGCACGATGTTTTTTTTTTCAATGCTGCAGTGATTGGGAAATAGAAAGCGTATTTCCACATTGTAAAGCTCTTTGCAGTGACAACTATAATTAAACCGACACACTGTAATTATCGATTGAGCGTCTTCAACCACACGTTAAATGGGCTAAGGACGGGTTCGATGGTTGTTGGTATATTTATTTTTCCTTTAAGAAGAAATATCATTGTCACTTGAAAATTAAAACTTATATATATATATATATATATATATATATATATATATATATATATATATATATATATATATATATATACAGGGTACAGGGTGTTCAGTTTTTTTTTTTGACATAAAGACCTAAATACATTTTTTAAAATACCAGGTCCTGACCATGTCCTGACTACAAATGATCAACTAATTATTGATCGCGAAGTCAGCACTGATTTTAAGTTGACTGATAGTTGTGCATTTAACGAATTTTTTATAATTTTCTGAAATCTCGAAAAAATATTCTAAAGATTCTCTGATCATAATAATATCAACTTTATACAGGGTGGCGCCTCTCATACGCCGCGGAACCTCCAAGAAGAACGAAAGTTTGTATTGAAATGAAATTTTGTGAGCATATGTAGGTTAATTCAGAGCACTTTTAAAAATATAGAGAGTTCTACAGGGTGTCCCCAAAAAAAGTTACATATCAAAGTTGTGTTTTTTGTAATGGAACACCCTATATATTAATATATTTTTAGATATATATACAAATCAGTTTATAACGTTCTTCGACGTCTTCTGATTTCCAGTCTCCATTGGTCTCTGTCTGTCCAGAGGTTTTCGTCTATTCCTCTTGTTCTGATGTCCCCGTCTATTCCCTCTCCAACTCCGTCTAGGTCTACCTCTATTGCGTTTGCCTTGTGGTGTCCAATTGAGTATTTTTTTCGGGATTCTGTTCTCTTCCATTCTTTGTACGTGCCCGTACCACCTGAGTTGGTTAATTTTGATGTCTTCTGATATTCGGTGTTTAACGCCCATGATGTTCTGAATTCTTTCATTTCTAACTCTATCCAGTTTCGATTTTCCGGCCGCGCGCCTCCAAAAGTCCATTTCTGTAGCTTCGAGTAACTTAAGGTTTCTTTTTTTCAAAGGCCATACTTCACTACCATAACTAATGATACTTTTAACTATGCTGTTATAAATTTTGTGTTTGTTTTCTTTTGATACGGCCTTATCCCATAAAATACTGTTGAGTTGTCTAATTGCTTGTCTTCCATGGTTGTTTCTGCACTTAATTTCTTCATCAAGGCTACCAAGGGTGGTAATGTGCATGCCAAGGTATTTATATTTTTGGCAGTGTTTTATTTCTTGCTGTTGCTGTTCTAGGATTATGTTCTGTTGTTCGCCGCCGATACACATATATTCCGTCTTCTTAAGGTTTACCTCCAGCCCCCACTTGTTATACTTTTCAATTAGTTTGCGGGTCATATATTCCAGATCCTCGTAGTCTTGAGCTAGTATTATTTGATCATCAGCGAAACAAAGAGTGTAAAGTATCGAGTCGTTTAATAGTATCCCCATCTGTTCACACTTCCTTTTCCACGTTTTCAGAGCTTGTTCCAAATAGATTTTAAACAGTGTGGGCGATAGACAGCAGCCCTGTTTAAGACCTTTGTTTATGCTGAATCCCTTTGATATTGTTTTTCCTTTCTTTACTTGGCTAATGTTGTTCTTATAAAGTTCTTGGACAGCCTTAATTAATGTTATGCTGATATTCGTTTTCTCGAGGGCTTCCCGCAATTTAGACTGGGGTACACATCATATGCTTTCTTGAGGTCTATGTAGAGGAGATGTATTTCTTGATTTCTTGCCATCTTTTTCTCAATTATCTGTGTTAGTGTAAATAAATGGCCGACCGTGGATCTACCAGCTCTAAATCCCGCTTGTTCTTCAGCCTCCATATCCCGGTATTCTTCCTCAATTCTCTTTTTGACCAATTTTCCATAGACCCTTGAAACAGAGCTCAGCACGGAGATTCCTCGATAGTTATCGCAATCGTCTTTACTTCCTTTCTTGTGTATTGTTGTTATATATGATGTCTTCCATTCTTTCGGTATATTTTCACCATTAAGGCACTTTTGGAAAAGACTAGCGAGCTGCTTATATAATTTATCCGTGCCGTACTTGAGTAATTGTGAAGGAATTTCACCTGGACCAGGCGATTTTCTATTTTTCAGGGTTTGGCAAATTTGTTTTACTTCTTTGGTATTGATCCTCAGTGGAGAAGCTGCGGTTCTTATTTGAATGTCGGATTGTGGCTGAAATGTTTGTTGATATTCGGCCCTTTCTTCGGTCAACAGTTTAGCAAAGTATTCGTCCCATTTTGGTAATGTAATTGGTGAGATGATATCTTTAGTCTTCTCTTTTCGAAGGGACCTTAATATTCTCCAGCTTTCGGTACTTCTACTACCTCCTATATATGTATTAATTCTTGTGCAGTTTCTTTCCCAGCTTTCGTTTTTCTTTTTTGTTATAGCTGTCGGTACAATTCTTTGTGCTGTTTTGAATTCATGCTTACTTTCGTTCGATTTTATATTTAGAAATTTGTTGTACTTTTCTCGTTTAGCTTTTATCATTTCCTCAATTTCTTCATCCCACCAGTATGGTACTCTTCTTTTGGGTTTGGCGTATTTTCCCAAAGCTTCTTCTGATGCACTTCTCATGCAGTCTATAATATAATTGTACTGTTCTTCTGTACTTTCAAAATTTTCTTGTACAAGTTTTTCATCCAGTCGATGTTTGTATAAATCCTTCACGCTCTCGTGGTTGAAGCTATCTAAATTATATTTTACTTCTGTTGTCTTTTCTTCCTGTTCTCTTTCGTCTATTTTCTTTTTTACCATTCGAAAGGGTAATATTTTGGACTTGACAAGATGATGGTCACTGCCACATGTCGCTCCTCTGTAGACTCGTAGGTCTTGAATCTTTAACGCTGTATACTGTCGGACTATCACATAATCTATGACGGATTTCAAATTTCTAGAATGTTGTATCCAGGTGTACTTATGTCACGGTGCTGAAAAAATCCGTTCAAAATACGGAGGTTATTTTGGTCGCATATATTGATAAGTCTATTTCCATTATCGTTAAGAGTTGCTTCTCTGAACTGGCCTACTATTTTATCATGTAGTTTCTTTCCTATCCTAGAATTTAGATCTCCTGTCAGTATTATTTCTCTGGATTGTCCTATTTTTGAAATTTCATAGGAAAGTTGCTCAAAGAACTCCTCTTTGTCTTTAACTAGGGTATCATCGTTAACTGCATATACTCCTATTATCGTGATATTTTTTCCATGCAGACTCAAATTCATTTTGATGAGGCGTGGGCTAACTGGTTCCCAGGAGGTGATACATCGTCTCAGACTTTTCCTAACCAGAATAGATATTCCTTGTTGAGCTCTTTTATCTTTTTAGACTCCTGAAAAAAGGTGATCGTACTGTCCCAAATTTTCTGAACCGTGTCCCTTCTTCTTTGTCTCGGACAGCACCACAATATCCATGTTCGCGTTCTTTAATTCTGATAGAATATCATTATTTTTTTGAGAGAGACCTTGGACGTTCCAAGTACCAATATTCGTAATCCATTTTCTTAGCTTGTGTCGTCTTTCTTTCTGGAATTTCTGGAATTTTTAACCCTTATCTTTTTAACGAGTACCAAGTGGTTAGCCCGATGCCTCAACCCCCATCCAGGAGGGCCAGAGCTTTGCTTTCGGAGTGTCTCTCTCCTAGACAAGTTGTCTTCTCTACGACTAAAGAGACTTGTCTTCCCAAGTATCCACCATACTTTTTTTATTTGTGGTTTTCTTCCACTAGACGATTGCCTTGCTGGGCTCAGGGACTCTGTCTATCCCTCCTTTAGGTTCCTCTGTGAAAGAGTACCACTTGCGCCAAGTTCGCCGTGCCGAATATAATATTCTCCGCCTTCTTTGCCGGTGTGGTCTTCATCCGTAACCCTGGACAAGGGGCCCTTACAGGGTTCTATCAACCGGAGCCAGATGAGCCCCGGTTTTTTAGCGAGGTGTTACTCCTCGATCCCTCCTCTTTCCTTACCTCTTGCATGGTAAAGCTCCAGGACTGGTATAGCAGAGTTATTTTTAGATTCTGGGAGAAAAATAGAGGTGAGTTATAAGAGAAGTATAGGACTAAAATGTAAGGTTTTTGTCATATTTAACGTTTTCTAGAAATAAAGAACAATTTTTAAATTACAATAAAAGCTAACTAAATTGGAATTTACCCGGTATAGCTTAATATGTATATAGTTAAATTAACTATTATACTTTTAAACTTATTTTACTGTATAAAATCCTTTAATAAAACTCACCTTTATTGTTTTCCATGAACCCGAAAATCAATTAATATACAGGTGTTCCATTAAAAAAAACCAACTTGATGTGTAACTTTTTTTGAGGACACTCTGTATAATTGTATATATTTTTATAAAATGCTTTCAGTTAACATACATATGCTGCCAAAATTTCATTTCGATGTAAACCAGCGTTCTCCTGGGAGCTTCCGCGGCGTATGAGAGGCGCCACCCTGTACACCGGGTGTTTCTCAAAAGTGGCTTTCCCCTATGAATGTTTTATTTCTTCAGATAAATTAATGAAATTTGATACGTTAGTATGGGACATATATCAGGATGGATTGACGTATTCAATTGTTTTCGGTCCCTTCCTGTTTTACCACCGGAAATCACTAAAACTTTTGATTTTTAAATGGCACCTTTGCTATTATTTTACTTTATTCCATAGAAAATGACACTCTGAATGGAATGACATATCACATATCAACTTTTCACACTCTCGCTTAAAAAAAATATTTTAAATTTTAATCTAGAGTGAGAAAAATACCTTAGATAAAAACGGCGATCGCTGAGCTTATGAAATGAAGATCGATGACATTTCCCATATAATTTTACATATAAAATGACAGCGATCTGCATTTCATAGCCATCCCTGACTCCGTTTTTATTCGATCATACGGTAGATTTATTCTTTTTAGTGTATTGTCCTGGCCGGTTAAAAAAATCGCCAAATCGTATCTTTAATAAAAACTCAAATATTTCAAATGAGATGAAGGCGGCTCATTAACATATTTGGAAAAAGACAGTAGCGTAGCGTAGGCCCCACAGCACCCGCAACGGCGGGGGGGCCTCGTGATTTTGGGGGCCCCGCAGGGTCCTCCAATTTTATTTACTAAATACATTTATATACCGGGTCAGTGTGAAAAGTGGCTCACCCTTATAACTTTTTTATTTTTTTAGTTAAAAAAACGAGATTTCGTATGATAGTATATGACATAAATTAGGATTGATTGACGTATTCAATTGTTTCTGGTCACTTCCGGTTTCACCGGAAATGACTACAACTTTTGATTTTTAAATGACACCCCCGGTATTTTTTTACTTTATTCGATAGAAAATGCCACTCTGAATAGAATGACATATGATATGTCAACTTTTGACATTTTCGCATATGGTTTATTTGAAATTATAACTTGCGGTTCGTAACGAAAATTTGACTCGAAATACCAAGTGTGTGGTATCAAATTATTCGTAAAAAAAAATGCTTTTTCCATATACCTATGCTAATGAGCCACCCTCGTTCCATTTGAAAAAATCAAGATATGATTAAAAATACGATTTGAGCATTTTCTAACACGCCAGGACAAGACACTAAAAACATTAGACGAACAAATCAATTTTTCCAAGGCTCCTTGATGAAGAATTAGTCTTTTTAACATAGCCATGGCACTCTAGATTGAATTTTAAAATACAATTTTTTATTAAGCGAAAATGTCAAAAGTTGACATATGATATGTCATTCTATTCAGAATGTCATTTTCTATCAAATAAAATAAAAAAATACCGAGGGTGCCATTTAAAAATCAAAAGTTGTAGTCATTTCCGGTGAAACAGGAAGTGACCAAAAACAACTGAATACACAAATCAATCCTAATTTATGAATATACTAACATACCAAATCTCGTTTTTTTATCTGAAAAAATAAAAAAGTTATAGGGGTGAGCCACTGTTGAGACGCACCCGGTATATGAACAGTGTCCCTTACAGTTTCCAAAAATAAAAGGGAAAAAATGAAAAATTTTTAACTAATATTTAAATTTTGACTTAATTTAATTTTTAAGCTACATTGTTAATGTAGTATATTTTAATTTTAAATACATATTTTTTAACCAAGTTAATTTAATTATGTATTATTAAATTTGACTAACAATTTTATTTTTTATGTTCCTTTATTATTATTTTTCTTATGTGGAATAAGTTTATTTTTCGTTTTTATATTTTAAATGACTTGATATAGGTACCTCCATAAAGCTATATTATGTTTTAGTGTGTTTTTTTATTTTCATATAAGGGCCCCAAAAAAATCTTGCGGGGGGGTCTCACATTTCAAATTACGCTACTGGAAAAAGAATTATTATTTTTTACGAATAATTTGGTACAGCATACTTGGTATATCCAGTCAAATTGTTACATTTATGATCATGGTATTTCATTGTCTAGATCCACTATATTGAAATCTAAAATACTTTTTTTTAATTGAAAGTGTCAAAGTTACCGTTTTTCTATTTAGAATGTAATTTTCTATCGAATGAAGTAAAAAAATACCGGCGGTGTCATTTAAAAATCAAAAGTTGTAGTCATTTCCGGTGAAACAGGAAGTGACAGAAAACAATTGAATACGTCAGTCAACCCCACGGGGGTGTCACTTGTATGGGAAAACAGGCAACAATCAAATTTAAACGTGCCAGGACCAACGACAAAGAAAGCAACATCTGCCAGGCATTGGCTTTCTTTGTCACTCGCATTGCTTAAATCATGATACCGCGGCCATTTTGTCAACAAAGAAGCTGGCCGGGCTGTCCTGGCACGTGATTTAAAACAATTTTGCTTTTTTACAATATTAAATTACCATTTGGATGTATTTAATGCGATTATTCAGTTAACTGGTAAGTCAGAAATTACACACAAATACTTTATTCGTAAATACAACTAAGATGTAAACGTAGTTTTGTATTTTTAGATTTCAACTTTTGCAAAGACCCGCCGATAGAACTTGCCTGGCAGCGTACCTGTTTAACTAAACGTATTATTTCCTGATAATAATATCAAAACACGTAAGTACCTCTATAATTTATGATGACAAATGATTTTGATTATGTTTTATGTTATTTAAATACTTTCTAACCTCAAATAATAGTAAGATCCTTGTTTATATCGCACAGCCCGTTCAAAACTGTATTGTCTTCAAAAAATGTTTACAAAACAAACAATTATTACAAAAACAATGTCCTTTTAATCTGATTTATACCTCAGAAGGATGCCAGTAAAATTTTATTAAATCAACATTATATTATTTGGCCATTAATATCCAAAAAGGAGCATATTGCCTTAACTTAAATTTTCTTTTACTTCTCTTGACAATGTTCTCTATATTCTCTATTTTGAGTTAGTAAACTTTTGAACGGGATGTGCGATATATAAAATACATAATATATCCAAGGGTATGATCTGATAAAAGTATTTTTTGATGCATTTTTTGGTTTTTTATGCACGTTGGCTTGGTTTATGTTTTATTCAGCTTATATTTATTTGTATAACAGTTTTTTTTGCCTTTGGAATGGCATGCATTGAGGCTAGATAGTGTTTCATTAGACCATTAAAGAAATTTAAATTAGCATTTTTTTTTGTCATATTAGTGTGTTATCATGATACAGGTAGTTGTATCATAGTGCCTTATGCATGTTATTTACCTATTATATACTTATGTAATGTATTATCAGTAAATAGATGATAATATACTACTAAAATGTCTTTTTAATAGTATGTTTATCTTTCCAATTCACTAGTTATTTGCAAAATGTATTTTGAACTAATTTAAGTCATTAATTGGTCATCTTTCTTTTTCAGGTTCCGGGATATTCTTTTTCATTGTAAAAAAATATATATATTTCAATATTATTGTAATATAAATCGCAGCTCTAAAAAATAAATGATATTGTTTACTAATGTGTAATTTATTTACTATGAATGTTCTCTGAAAATAATAAGTCTTTAATAATATCATTGATTTGCTGTGTAAAGTTAATAGACATATTTTTTAATACATTAAATTATATTAAAGTAATAAAAAATATGTTTATTAATTTTAAAGAGTAAGTCAGTGATACTTATAAAAGTATTTTTTAAAAAATTTCCCCTCTTTTAAGCCCCGCCCCTCCAATTCCCCTCAATTCAGCTAGTACTGCCAGGCGACACCAGGTGGCGTCTGTTTCCATTTTTTAACATGAAGTTAGCATTTCTTTAATGTACCTATTCTCTGGTCAACCCTAATTTATGTGATATACTAACATACCAAATCTCTGAGAAAATCAAAACGTGGTAGGGATGAGCTACTTTTGGAAAACACATGGTAGGTATACATATTATGAATGATGGAGGATTTAAAAAAAAAACTGTTAAGAAATATTGGAAATCTAA